CCAGAATTCGAAAGATTAGAACGCGAAAGGATGTAGGTATTGTAATGGCTTACAGGCCTTCGGCCTAGACACATAGGATCAAGTAAGCTAATTCGTTTGTAATAATTACCTATTAAATAAAAATAAATAATATTAGTGTAACTGTGTGTAAGGGGTGACGAGACAAGGAAGAGGAAGGAAAGATCGCGCGCGGTCCGAGTCCCATTTGTTAGGATAGTGCTCTAGTATTCGCCTTCTGTTGATCGGAGAAACGACGGAAAACTACCGATCAAAGCAGTCTGTCTCTAGAATTCTCGCCCTGTCGACGGGACGGGACTCGAACCTAGAACCTCCCGATCTGAGAAACTGCAGTGACATCAGTTGATGCCCTGAGCCACCTCTCTCGGTGTTAACTACGTGGAGGTGTCATGCCCGATACGCAGAATGCTTGCCAATAGCGATCACCTTCACCCTGCTACGAGAGTTTAACGCTTTCCAAGCCCGCTCAAGAGAAACATTTTTCTTTTTTCATATCATCCGTCCGTCTCTCTGCTAATGCGTCCGTCTGAAAACAACACTAGCGTCTAAAGTGTTTGTAGGATTTTGGTCTGAATGAATATTTTCTGGTCGATCTGACCAGACTCAAAGGCCTGCGATTTTGAAATGAATTCTTTGAATTTTAGGAATATTTTACATGAAGTCTCTTACATGTTATAAACATTTTCTCATTAACAGCTCAAAACGGTTTCTTCAATTTTATCCACGCAGAGAACAAGGGACGCTTAAAGTAAAGGGTATTTTGAGTATAAAATTTGTATTTTGAGTATAAAATTATATTTTATGGCTTATGATTTTAAATTAAAAAAGAAAATTACGCACCACTTTCAGAATTATTTAATCGAATAAGTTCAGATGTAAAAATATATAATATAGTGAGTCAGTAGTTTATTTTTTGTTATTCTCTTCAGTACGATTGTAACATGACGGTACATGACAACACTAACAGATATATTCTCCAAATATGAAACCTGAACTCTGAACCTACAATTCTTGTCAATCTCACAGCGAAATACAATAGATTGTAGCTGCGTACAAGCACAGAACAATGCTGGGTAAGAAAATGTGAACACTGTTTCTTAGACGAAACACTTCTTGTTTTCATGGGTATCATAAATGGTTTGATTCGAACATTTTATATTGATTGAAACATTTTCATGATGGTTAGAATGTACTTATGGTGCTCTCTTTTAGTGCGTGTTAATAATTATATATATATATATATATATATATATATATTATATATATATATATTAAAGTTTTGAACATTTATAATACGTAAAACCATGAAAATCAATTGAGTTTCTAAACTGAGTTTCTTAAGGTCGTTTCCATAATCTTGTCTTGTCATATAGTGTCAGCTGTGTTTTTTATACTGTAGGGTGAACTTTAGGGAACGAAAGGACAGCTCAGACAAATACAAACATCCATGCCCCAGGCGTGATAGCAGGATACGAACCCGCAACCCTTCGACCCTAGGCAACTACGGTTCTTCAGCCTTAACGATTTCGGCTATCCAGACCACCTGAACACAGTGCCTCTTTTAAATTCGTTTTCAACTATAACGCGAATTGTGTAATGTAAAATCTGAATTGTTGAAAAATCAGTCATCAATCTCTCCCACTCGCGAAAAACTATTTTATGAACAACTAGTCATATCAATGGACTTGTTAACCAATAAATCCAAACTCTTAAATTATGTGATTTCATTTTATAACCTTTTATAGTATATTATGAAGCGATGATGTAATGATGAAATGCGTATTAAAACACGAAAAGATGGTACTGTGCGAACGAGTTTCGTAAACTTCACACGAGTGTCTTAATACCTAGTTTAATACGGTACTTTTTCTACGATTTATAAGTTAAACTTTTACACTAAATCGTTTCGTAGCAGTTGACGCACAGAATTCAGCCAAGGTAACCTAGCAGACAGCTCCTACCCTACAAGTCAGTCAAATGTTCCCTCCGGTAACTACCACTGCCCTAGTCAAATAGGATGAAAGTCAAATTACGATCCACTTTATTTTAAATAATATTACTCGTAAAAAATAATATTAATAAAATAAATTAAACCTGACAAGCATTCTATAATATAAAATACCATTTTAATGTACGCAATCGAACGAAAAATTTACTGGACCAATTCTCAATGATTTCTTAAGTCTTAGTACTTGGTTTGTAAACTACTGCGATTGGTTAAAAAACTGAATCATGATGAAATATGTGTTGGAATTAGTGTCATTATGCAACGGGTTGCAGCCATTAAATGACATAATTATACAATGGGAGTAGAAAAAATATGTTAATGGCTTACAAAACGGATTCAATATTCTGAACATCACTGAATAAATTTCAAAAAAAATAAAAACATGACAAAAAGGGAATAAGAGTAGTTACGTTTTAGTTAAGTTCGTGAGTGTGTTCTTAACGATTTCGTAATCTTCCTCCTCAACTTCAACGGCAATAAAAAATTCATGAGAAGCACGGAGCAAGTGTTTAGCTCCGCCGTCAAAAGTCGCCCTGGTTTTCTTTGTCCCGAGGAAACAGCGATGATTAACCGCAGCTTAAGAGAAGTAGCGAGGGCCTTTGCACAAAGAAGATCAGCGAGAGGAGCCTCGCCTTCTGCGAACGATGGAAAGGATCTGCAGGCAGCTGCAAGCGGCTGCCTCGGGAACGGGAAGGCGCGGAATATTCAATTATGGAGGACGTCTTTGCGATTACAGGATTCAACGCAAATTTAAAACCACAGCTTACGTTAAGTGGGAAGGCGGTGTGATCACAGCATTCAAAAATTCTTCATCGCTTGTACCTTCTGCTTTGATAATTATTTCCTGGAGAGGGGTATGCGCCATTATGATCTTTAATTGGCTGCCGTAAGTCCTTTTCTTTGGCTCGACTGCCCATTAAGGGCCTTGGCCGGCCAGCGGTTGCCCAGCTTCTCGGTCATGAGGTAAGGGGTTCTTGTGGTTAGCATATACTGGTCTCCGTAACCTCAGGGTGGTTTTTCTCATCGTCACACAGCAATAGGTACTGGCACAGTTATAATTTTCCCCCGACTGGGAATCGAACCCGGGGTTGAGTTGAGGAAAGCATGCTAACCCTCGATCCTCCGAGGGCATAAGTATGGGTAGCCAGCTAATTGACAATCAGTTGAATCTTTATGATGAGGGTTAAGGGAAATTTGAACCAACACTCTTGGAGTTCAAAGTTCGTCTAATTGAATTTAATACAACTTACGACAATTATTCATCGATTAATTTGCAGTTGCGCCAATATATTAATGCATGTCAAACATTCACTTTTTTATTTATTAGCGAACACTTTATTTATAAGTGAATTAGCTACAATAAAAATAAAAGTACGTTTCATAAGTCGCAATGATTACAAAATAATGAACGTCGGATGAAAAAATAAATTAACAAGTAGCATTAGTTTGAAGATCATATAGGGAAGCAAAACGTATCTTTAAAAGTGAAAGAAGCGTACAGCTCACCATTTGATCAAACGAGCTGAAAAACTTGAGGAAAACCTGGTCGTGATGTGGATCATTGACCGAGAAACTGAGGTACGATACTTGTTACATACATTTAGTCTTTTAGGGTCATACAACACAAATTGAAATTAACGCTGTAAATAGAGTTGTTGAAATCAATATTATTTTAGTATTTACTTGAATGTCCGGGTGATGCCGAGTTCATGGCGGAGGTGCCGACGTTTCGGTCGCCATTCTGCGACCTTCCTCAGGGCGTAATGCCCTGAGGCCTCATTCGTTGCCTAAACTTGTGTATCCAATTTAATTATTTAATGGCTCTTGCCAATATTTTATAAAATAACGCAATAATATTATTTTATGTGATTTCTTTATACAAGTTGATGATACTGACATCTTAAAAATTTTACTATGTCGAGTGTTATAGTTAAGATTGCTTAGCGAAAAATAGGTTCGCGAATTTAAATAAGTCAGTTTTAACCAACACCACAAAATGTTCATCAAGAGGAAAGGCTCTGGTATAATTCACAACATAATAAAGTCTTTAAAGAGACACGTGGATAGGATTTGCTCAAAATCGGTACGAATATTTCCTGTAAGTATGGAAGTAGTAGAATGTTTTCCTAAGAATATTATGTTATAGGCGGGAAAGTTCCCCCCACAAAAACTGGCGGGTGAAATTGTGTCTTTCCAATCGTCCAGACAAATTTGGATACCATTCGATCCGGGGAAGGGGCACGTTGGTGCAATCGATACAGCCGGAACGTTAGTGATAATGTGGTTGGCGCCACACACCAATGGCGGCGGGAAAGAAGTTGTTCTCGGGGGCCTCGATTGTTTACTGTGAGGCGGAAATATCGTCATCTTTCAGTACCGAAGGAGAGATTTTTACCTGCGCGTACACCATAACGAAAAATATTTCTGAGCGGGGGTTTCCATCCAGAATTACTGTCAATAGGCCAGTAAATATTTAGCACTTTAGCAACAATTATACTATCTTTTAGCAATCAAATTGTAACTGTCAGTCTGTCGATGCTATCAACTTCCGTTCTCGAGATATTTAATCGTTCATTAGAACTTAGCATCTCATAATCATCCCCATTCTAGCACTCATTCCATTCGCGCTCCGCACACAAGAATACTAAAAAGAGAAGTTTGCTATCTCTCTTCGATGAACTCGCCGAAAGACGAATAAATTACCTCACGTGCTTACGTCGTTGTGGAAGAAGCATCGAAGGAAATATACTGCAAAACTTTTCTTCGATTCTAGAACATACGAGAGGTCATTTTGGGATATTGTTTTTGTATTATTAGCGATTCAATTAAAACTGAAAATTTCTTCCATTTATTGTAACAATTTATATAATAACGTTAATTTATTTATATTTGAAAAGTAATTAGTAAATATTTTAATATGTTGGTTAATGTGGTGAAACATCTGGATAGTACACATGTCGTATTTACCAAGTTGGAGCTCACACACTTCTCATCTGGCATAGTTATTTGTGTCACATACGATTTCCGAATAGTAAAGATGTGATCTGATGCAGACAGGATACAGGAAATTTTTAATCAGAAACTCGTAAGACCATTTTTTAGGTAATTGATGTAATTAAAATACAAATTACAAAAGCAGGTGACGTAAATCATCCTTTTCAGAGCTGACAAGAATAGTGTAAAAGAAATAGATATAATGTTAAGAATATTCTCGAGCGTAAGTCTTTGAGGAACAATCGCAGGGAGACGATTCATTGCAAAATGCTCTCGCAAATACTCTCCTACCGTAGACACGTCCCCAACCGCCCGACAGAGTTGCCCGACGGCGAGTGACGGAGGGAGAAGAGGAAGCCGTGGAATTCCTGCGGAGCCCCAACTGACGCGGCGCGTCCGCAGCAGCGAGGGCGAGCGCGGGTGGAGGCAGGGAGGGACGGAGGGGCGTGGCGATCGCGGGATGGCATGCGCGAGCTGTGGCGAGGGAGACAGTGGGGCGGGCGTGGTGCAGGCGAACCGGTTGAGGAGGTATGGCGATGGCGGGCGTAGAGGGGAGGGCGAGCAGGGCGAGGTGCGGAGGTGAGCGGCTGAGAGAGAGGTTGGGCGAGGGCGTGCTGGGGTTGGTAGCGGGCGTGCCAGGAGGCCGTCCACCAGCGGCAAGTCTTGTGATGGGTCCGCTTCCCTCGCAGCTCCGCTCCGCAGGTGAGCGCGTGTTTCCGCTTCCGCTAACGCACAGCACTGCTTGCACGCTCCCCCTTCGCCCCTCTGTACGTGTGTGGGGAGAGCCACGTGTCCCACGTTTAGGCGACTCTGCCTGTACGCGTAGAGCGCTTCGGACTGCGAGCTATATGATTTGCTCGCGAACTAACATAGCGAGTGTGGGTACCTGTGCGTGAGAGAGAGAAAGAGAGACTCACAGACATGACAGAGAGAGTGCACTGGCTCAAATTATTTAAAATACCTTTCCGTCTCAACTGACCTGGCTGGCTGGAGCTGTTAACGCGCACCTATTCTTGCTGTCACCGACATATGTCGAGATTGAGGTAGAACACCTGAAGCTAGCAGTGTCAACTGGGAAATATACCTCTTAAAAGTATCCAACCACTAAGCAAAACATATGTTTTCAAGGCGTCAGGAAGGGCAAGCCAGGGTACACTGGCGATTGATTACTAGTGATTCCAGTTGCGTCAACTGCTACAGTTATTTGTCCCGTAAGTAAAGTGCTCGTGTTTGCCCCAATTAAGGTAATGCTCCGGCATTCGCCTGATATTCATGGAATCCACGGAAAACTACCGATCAGAGCAGCCGGTCGCTAGAATTCATCTCGAATGAGTGACAAAACTCGGCCTAGCTATTTAGCAGGTGTCTAAAGTCGTGCACTGCAGTGACGTCAGTTGCTTCCCTTAGCCACCTCGCTCGATAGCTTTGGGTGAGAAAATCACCGGAGCTGGAGTGCCTTGGTGGGGTGGAGGTGAAAGAGCCAATCGACCAGGAATGCGAGGGAAAGGAGTGAGCCGTCAAGGGTTGGGAAATAAAGCCTTCTTGTACGACTTTAATAGAAACTCCATCGGAAACAATCAATTTAAGAAATAAATCTCGCATCATCGCTACTTTGTTCGTTTTTACTTAGTTGTCTTTCATATTATATGCATTCCTACATAATTAAATGTATATCTCTGTATATGTGCTGTAAAACTCTGCACGAGGAAGCTCATTAGCAAATAATATTATTATTATTATTATTATTTTATTATTATTTATTTATTTTATTATTATTATTATTTATTATTATTATTTATTATTATTATTATATATGTGAATATGTTGATTTCTGTAATAAAAATTGTCTGTACTTAAAGAATCTGTCTTTAAATTTATGTGGTTAGTTACTGAAATAAATGTATAGGGAAGCCATACAAGTCTTATTCACAATTCGAGTATTCTTTGATATGAAAACGTAAAATAAATGGAAAATATGTTTCCACATGTAAATGGACTATAATGTTTACTTGCATGCATTGCATGAACTCGACATTTTTCACATCAGAAATGTAATTTTTTACTGTAGATTTTAGAATTATTTGAGACACGAAACAAACGTTTAAAATAAATTAAGGACGTTTATACGAGAATTTCTGATGTCTGCGCCAAGTACTGTGGGCACGCCTTGACTGGAGTAGTTCCTGGGTCACTAGGCTTTACCAAGCTATCAACGTTTACAGAGCTTACCTCGCTAAGGCGGTTCTGCCGTAGCAATTTCGGGCCGAAGAGTGGCAGGCTCGTGTCCCTCCTGAGGCATGGTTATATTTGTGTTCGCCATATCCCTTCACCCCTCACCATATCCCTTCGTTCAGTACACTGGTACCCCTCTCGTTAATCACTGTGTATGTACTTGGCGCGACAGCCCGTGAACGGGCTCATACGGGCCATGGGGTAGGTACCGTTAGCACGTATTCCGGTCTTCTCAACCTGAAAAGTGAATTTTCTCGTCACACAGGCACATATACTGGAACATCGCAAACAAAACGCACACTATAATCTTTCCCTACCGGGAATCAAACCCGGGGCAGCGTAGTGAAAAGCGAGCACGCTGACCAAGAGCTAGACACGAGGGCAACGTCAATCAATTATGGTCGCTAACGACCAAGCAGTTCATGCGACCCTCAATAAAAAAATTAAAAAAATGTTCTCGCAAGAAAAATTGTCGTGCACAGCAAGAGAGAGTATTGGAAATGCGAGAGCCACACGCAGTTGTCACGCGGACGCGAGAATTCTATTAATATAAATGTCAATTTTTCTCTATTCAAATTAAAATCACTGCAATTACCATTTTCAATTAAGAGGTGTTCTCATCAAATTGGTTGCGAACGCGAAGTTACGCGGGCGCTTCGTCACTTCCATGTCTCCAGGGAGAGAAAACGTTAACTAGAGGGGCTGCAGCGGTGCAATAGCACAGACCTTTGGGAACTCAATTCCGTGGAGGTAGGAGATATCTGGTGATAATGCATTATGCGAGTCAGCAAATAATCAACCACAACAATCACAGTTATATTTATTGCAACATTCCCAAAATTAACTTCCGGAAACACTTTTCCCATCTTCTATGAGTCTTTAACATGGAGAAAAAGAAGAGAAAATAACAAATAATGGGAGCAAATAGTAATATGGGAAAAATGCGAGATAAAAATGACATATAAAATAAAATTAATAATAAATGAATTTAAAAAAAATTACTTACTATCCAAGCAACAGTGATCACTATTAAACATAACAGGAGATGTACAGCATAACAGACGAACGAAATGAGCTGGAAAGCCATCTTGTAGAATGGGGAGACTAGAAGAGTAGAAGGGGCTAGTCAATAAAAAGATTTGAAATGGGACAGCATTTTTATTAAGGAATGTTCATTCACGATAGAAAAATTAAGATTTGTGAAATATTTTAAAGTATTCTAGACTAGCATTTTATTTTCCCGAACCCTCTTCCCAGCAGCTCCCTATCGGCATCTAAAAGTCATTTTTCACGTTTTCTAAATTTTTCTCTGATTAAGAATATTAAGAAGTGTAAAACTTGGCTCAATATGCAAATTTTCATAAACAAATTTTAGCCGTTTTTGAGAAATTTCTTTAATGTTTCGGAACACGCCGAAAATTGAGTAGATCATTTTTACAGAAAAAAAAACGATACTTCATCAAACATACTTTGAGGCACTTGTTCTCACAAAAACAATAATGAATAAGACCCAGAAATGTAAAAATTAATGACATGAGGTGCATACAGATTCACTTGTGTAATTATTAAGGAATCGAATGTGTATACATAATCGAAGTTTATGTCATATTATTCAGTGAATTTAGCACTCTTTGTAGCAAAAGTGTAAATAAAGAATTGGGCCTATTTTAAAGATAATCTGGTTTTTAAAATTGATTGACTCCAAATTTCACCAAACTACCACAATTTTTAAAACAAGTAAGAAAATTTATTGAGGACCTAATTGTGAAATAACAAGTTTTGCTTGAAAAAATGTTTAGTTTCAATACCGGTTTAGAAAAGGGTCCAAAAGTTTCAAAATTTTGCAAGAGGGGCACTGAGCTTCAAAATACCGTTAAGTGAAAATACCTCTCCCTCCTTCCCCTCCAGCCCCAAAACTGCCTCAGCCAGCAGCAGTATGTTGCGTAATATTTAAGTAAATCGGTGAGTCAAGAAAACTCCTCTAATCCGATGTGAATCTGTTCAGACCGACACTTTTATGTCTTTTAGCTAAAAATATGAAATTGAAAAAAAGAATACAAGCATATTGGACGCGGTGCATCTGTCTTGTGAGCAGATATTTAAATAATCAGCTTTATGCGGCCGCTATGATTAAAGAGCCTTTGCACTGGCTTGCTTTTACAAATTATTTTAGTATATTAATGATCTTTGTGTTTTAAAAAATGGTAAGAATTTACACATAGTTTTATAACAAGTGCTAGTATTTTATTTTATCACATTTTTTCTTCGTATTTTAACATTTCATTTGTTTCAGAGTTTGCCAAAATTTTGCTGTTTACATTCTTTGCAACTTGAATATGAGGAAACAAATATTATTCCTCAAAACGTCACAACAATATGCAAAAGTATTAAGTTTTCAAATTTTATTATTACAATAAATGTTTATTTCTAAATACTTAAGTAAATCGGTCTGCCAAGAAAACTCCTGTATGTTAAGGATTCGATGTGAATGTATTGAGACCCAAACTTTTATGTTTTTATGTATATGTGTAATTGTAAAAATACAAACAAATTTGATAGGTGAAATGTGCTAGTGAGCGATATTTAAATAACAATCAATATCGATTAAAAATGATAATTTGTTCTTCGTTCCATAACCACTGTCCGCAAGAGGTATTCAAAGTATCGGTTTTTGATAGCAGGGTTGAGCGATTATTAAATAATAACCGATTAATAGCTAATTGATAATTTTTTATTATATTAATATGCTCCGATTACTCGCTCCAATTTAATTGATTAATCTAATATAATCGATTAATTTTTCATGCATTTTAAATATTGCACTACGAATTTAAAAGCAAACAATTTTGGTTGCACTTTTTCAAAATGTTTCCACACAATGATATTAGTTTTTGGCGTTTTTAGAGGCACGTGATTTAATTGATAATATTTGTTTATTCTTTATTTAAATAATATTTATTCCACACATGTACTCATGAGAAAAACGACTGGAACAGTTTAAAATGAAAATCGCCATAGAATTTCCAGAAATAGCGAAACACCAATAATTGTAATCAAACCATGTACTTTTCTGAGAAGATTCTAGGAAAACTGGTAATTCTCTCTTTCTTATTTAGTACTGAATATCAAACCATCACTTAAGAGATGAATGTACACAGTGACTTAATTTATTAGTTTTGCTAACGAGAAATTAATTTCGTATGCTTGTTTCTATTATGTTTGCGGTTGGTGCGAGATAAACAGACGAAGTATTCCGTTGCTAAAGTTCAAAACTAGATATGTACTTTTGTACATATTTCTCGTCATGAAAATGAATATTTGAATTAAAATAATCGAGTTAAAAATCGGAAACAATAATCGATCTGTACATTAATCAGAGTAACAATAGTCGATTTCAATGTTTCTATCAATCGTATAAAATAATCGATTGTCTTACTAAGAGCGATGGCGATTATCCCCTTTATTGATAGTTTTTTCTATGCCTAACCCCCGCCCACGCCACGACCGTGCCAACTCGCGCCACCTCGCGCCACCTCGCGCCACGCCGCCAACTCGCGCCACCTCGCGCCACGCGCGCCACCTCGCGCCACCGCGCGCAACCTCGCGCCACCTGTCGCGCCACCGCGCCCACCTCGCGCGCCACCGGCGCGCCCACCTCGCGCACGCGCGCACCGCGCGCCACCTCGCGCCACTCGCGCCCCGCTCCCGCGCGACCCACCGCGCCCCCGCGCCCGCGCGCCCCTCGCGCCACCGCGCCGCCACCGCGCGCCCACCGCGCCACTCGCGCACCTCGCGCACTCGCGCCACCTCGCGCCACCGCGCGCACGCCGCACCGCGCGCCACCGCGCGCCAGCGCGCGCCACCGCGCGCCACGACCGCGCGCCACCGCGCGCCACCGCCGCGCACCACCGCCGCGCCACGCGCGCCACCGCGCACCGCGCGCCACCCCGTCGTGAGCACACGGCCGTGTGACTGCGCACGCGGGATTTACTGCAAATGTAATTACCCGAAATCAATTACCCTCAAATTCTATTATCTCTGCGAGAAAAATGTTGGAACTCCGTCGCTTTACTTTCAGGGGGAAAAAATCGCATTAAAATTTCATCCCACCTCACCGGTTGCGGGTGTTACTTCTTTCTAAAATGAATGTTTGCTTTTTTAAGCATCAATTTAAAATCTACGTTTGTGCATTTAGTCCAAATGCTCTTTTAATTTTTTATACTTTTGCATTTCTAACCATGTTATGATGTGATGAGTTATTGTACAAATCGAGATTTGCACCGATCTCTCTC